AGGACTGGGATGAGCACCAGGAGCATGGCTGAGCAGTGGAAATGCTGCAGGCTCTTTTCTGGAATGTTTCCAAGAACAGGAAAGAAGCTGGCTGCAGAAACCAAGACTTTGGAAATAGGAAGTGGGGTGAAAATGCAGCTGGACAATTCCTTGCTTAGATAAAAATACAAAAGCTGCCAAAATGAACCTGGATGCTTTCTGGCCTCTGTTCTTATCACTTTTCTATGTATGTCAGGAACTCAGCTGCAGGGAGGAGCCAATGGTGCACACCTCCTCCAGGCACAAGATCGCTAGTTTGTGCACCATCGCCCTCTAGAGACCAAGCTCAGAACTAAAGGTCCCAAAACCATCTGGAAGTTAATTAAGTGCTCCTTCTATTTTATGAGATACTCATAACTATCACACAATTTCTTCCCAAATCTTTGACAGTCAATTAATTTTACGGTCCATTATAAATGGAATGCCTTGTAAAAAGAGAATTTTTCATTATAAAAACAGTTTGAAAAAGTAGATCAGACTTCAGATCCAAGTCCATGAGAGTCTGTGGAATCAGGCCAGATGCCTCAGGCTGAGTTTATATGGCCCAGTGCTACCATGGTGTGCATAGAGGGTGATGGAAATAATTCCTTTGGCTGATGCTGTGTACCTATTACAGTGTAAGGTGGGGCCTAGAAAATGACAGCAGTGCTACAATGTCCCTAGTGACAAGATGTGACTCTGGATGGGATGGCTTTGTCTCTAGGGCTGAAGGAAACATGCTACAGAAACTTCTGGGGCCAGAGAAAATATAGTCATGCCAAAGAGCCATACTACATTTCATTGTTCCATTCATCAGTTGATGGCATTGGGTTGTTTTTACTTTTGGGCTCTTTTGAGTAATACTGATATGGACATTTGTGTATAACTTTTTGTGTGGACCTAGGTTTTCATTTCTCTTTTGTGTATATCCAGAGGAAGAATTGTTTTCCATAGCAGCTGCACCATTTTACATTCCCACCAACAATGCATAAGGATTCTAATTTATCCATGTTTGCCAACCCTTGGTATATTATCTTTGATGTTATCTATCTTAGTTAGTAGGTATGAAGTTGTACGTTACTGTAGTTTTGATTTGCATTTCCCTAAAAGTGGATGGGGGTGAGTACATCTTTTCATGTGCTTATTGGCCATTTGTATATTTTTTTGGAGAACAATGTATTCATATTCTTTGCCTACTTTTAAACTACATTATTTGTTTTTTTACTATTAAGTAGTAAGAGCTATTTATTTATTTGGAATGCAACTGTCTTATCAAATACTGGTCAAAAAATGTCATGAATGTAAAAATTTAGAGGGTGAAAGGCACACACAAACACAAAAGAAAACAAGAATATGCTCCATTACCAGAATTTGATCTTAGCAGGTATCTAAGTACCTATCAAATATTAACTCAATTTATGGTGCTGTGGTATAAAGGAAGAGTCAATTGAAGGTGATCATAATTTCAAATTTATTAAGTATTGAATCAAATTTAAAATACAACTTTGGACAAGATTTCAGTATTTCTAAAAAATTAAAAACAAGAACATTTTGGTAAAAACATATTTTTCAGGAAACTATCAGTGACAGGTACAGCCACATTGAATCTGAGTTGATTAAAGAATGTAAATTTGTACCAAGAGTAATTTATGTTTTATATCGATGCATTATACAATAAATAAGATTTTAAATTTTGTTTTAATGTGCATAGATAGATTTTATTTTTATAAAACTTTACCTCTTAAAGTAAACCTATTTTCATAGGCTGATTATATATTCAAAACAGTAGGTCAATTAGTAATTTTGGGGGGGTAGTTTTTGCTATAAAGTACATGCAGAGAGAAGACAGAGTGAGAGAGAAAGGAAAAGTGAGAAGTCACTCCCCCACCAGGGGGCTGGCCACACTGTATTCTCCTCTTGGAATTTTTGACATGTAGGCACATATGCTCGGCATCATTTTCCAGGCACAGGGCTGGAATTCCAGCTGTACATCCAACCATGTGGAATCAAACCTCCATGCCACCTGCTGGCCCAACTCTTTCAATGAAAAATAAATAAACAACAAATGAGCAAAATTGAAAAATCTGTTTAAATATAAAATTTGGGAGCACAAGTACTCTTGTTTATTCATTTCATTGTTTCAAGATGGAAGTAGATTGGTAAAACTTATTTCAAATGCAATTTCATTGAGTTTCATATTTTATAATTTACCTAGACTAAATAATTATCTCCTTTTTATTTCACTTTATTTCATTTTTGCCTTTCATACTCTGTTTATGTGTATCCTTAATCCACCTCCAAACCCTCTAAGAAAATGAAAAGTTCTTCTCAATACAGACACTTAGATAAGACAATCCATTATTAGTTATATTTTCTTTTCCATTGGAAATATTACTCTACAGTCACCAATTTTCTGCTCTTCTCTGGAGAAAATCAATGACATTATGAGTTTTTTGTTCTTTCTTTTTATCAAGTTTAGGGTTTTTCTTTCCTTGAGTGTGCCTATCTCTTCTCCTGCCACCCTGTCAGAGAAATATTGTAGATGCCACCTTCTTTAGCACACTTTGGCTCTCTAAAAGTATCTCCAGACACAGCAGTGTACACCCAGATACCTTAGAACGAGACTCAGGAACTGGACTGTGTCTGCAGCCGTGAGCATAGAGACCACCTGTGCTCAGTGACTTTTGCCTTGAAATTATGTTAGCCCAGATTAAAAGAACTATTGAAGTTAGTCTGTTTTTCCTAACGAAGTTTTACTGATTTTACTAATGAGAAATTGGGCAGGGGGAGGGGCTGTTCACTCTTTGTCCTTTTTCTCCAACCACTTGTATGATTTTCACATCACCCAGAAAAACTGAAGGACACACAGCCACAGACTGTGCTGAAACCACCGTGGATAAGAGTCAGACCTGAGCAGCCGGGTCCTTTGTGCTGCTTGGAGTTTGTGCTCAGCTCCCCCTGCAGTCTCCGTCGCTGTGTCACTCAGAGCACAGTAGTACACGGCTGAATCTGACTCTTGGACTGAAGCTTTCTTCAAGTGGAAGGAGGTCTTGTCTTTATCGTATGTGGCTTCAAATTCTTTGTTGCTCCCCTTTTCATTGGCCTTCGTAGCTTTCAGGAGGAGCTGTGGACCTTCCCCTGGATACTGGACATACCAGAAAAGGGCAGGGTACCCTGTGGCTGAATAAGTGCAGTTTATCGTCAAAGAAGTCCTTTCTGAGATGGTCATTTGGCCTTCCATCTGGGTCACGGAGTCTCCTTGGGCTTTTCCTGTGAAAAAAAGAAATAAAAAAAAAAGAAGTGTCTTTCCAGGCACAAAGCTTTTAAATACAATTATGGTTAAAAATTGTGCTGACACAGTAGAATAAAGAGTCCAAGTTTTAAGAGGCGTTCTACTTACCAAGCATAAGGAGTACCACGATCACTAAACTTGGAGAAGCATTCATCTTCAGAGTGTCGCCTAAATAATGTTCTTGGTGGTTAACATGAAGAAATGTTGAAGTCGCCCTGCAATGATAAATCTAAACCTACAGTTCACACAGGAAATGTATTTGTGTTAGGACGCTGCACCCCCTAGCGGGCAGGGACTGAACTGGGATGAGTGCTTTCCTGGACTCCTTCCAAAACTCAGAAATAGTCATCTAAACCTGCCTCCAATATAAACTGGTATGAATTATAAAGAATGCTTGTCTTTTTTTTTTTAAGTTTTTGCTATAGGACACATGGAAGAGGCAGAGAGAGACAGAAAGTGAGAAAGTAAGAAATCACAATCCCAACGGGGATGGCAACACCACAATCCTTCTCCTCCACTCTCCTCTAAGGATTTCGGGCACACACCCACATGCACCTGGCGTATTTTTCAAGCTACCAGGTCCAGGAGTCAGCTATGTGGGATTCAGCACACTTACCACCATGCTGGCCCAGGAATGCTTACTTTTTGCTGGTTTTTTTTTTTTCTATCAACTTTCTTTTATTTATTTATTTTTCACAAAAAGATAACCCACCAAGACCAATTTGGGTTTATTTAAGAAAAGAATACAAGGGGAAAAAAATTATAAATCGGTATCCATTGCACTTAACAGATGAGAGGAGAAAAACCACGAGATAATCTTGACAGATAAAGAAGAAAAAAAATTACAACATTACAAAGACTTCCCTAACTTAATCAAAGCTATCTACAAAAATTCATAGACAATATTATTCTTTTTTTTTTCTTTTAATAGAGATTTTTGCTATAGGGCATGTGCACTCACCAGAGAGACAGAGAAACAGAGAAACAGAAAGCAAGAAATCACTCCCCACAGGAGATGGCCACACCACAATCCCTTCTACTGTAAAGATTTAAGGCATACACACACACACACACACACACACACATCAATTATGAGTTTTAAACTACTGGGCCTGGGACTCGAACCACAGTCAGCCTTGCAGGAGTCCAGCAACATAACCATTACGCCGTCTACTGGTCCCACCAATGTCATTCTTAGAAGGGAAACAGTTCTTTTAAAATTGGGAATAAAACCTATTTGGCCATACTAATCACTTCTCTTTTTTTTCTTTTATGTGTATGTACACACACACACACACACACGTTAAAGATGTTTAAAAGGAAAGGCATGGTAAAGTCAGTAATTTGGTCATTTATAGACTTTACAATGTTTTTTATCTTAGCTTTCTTTAAATTCATTCCAAAGAAAGATTCAGCTGCCTGTAACATTTTGGGCTTTTCCTCTGTATCTAGTTTTATACAATGAATAATAGTTATGATAAATATATAAATTGAGGGACCAGCCATTGGCATAATGACTATGTCACTTGACTCCCATGTAGTGGACCATGGTTCGAGTCCCAGACCTGGTGGCTTAAACTCACACCAGGCATGTGTGCATGTGTACCCAATATCCTGAGAGGGAAATGGAGAAGAAGGGATTGTGATGTGGCAATCCCCTGTGGGAAGTGATTTGTCACTTTTTGTCACTCTGTCTGTCTGCCAATTGCACATGCCCTATAGCAAAAACAAAAAACAAAAAAACAAACAAACAAACAAAAAAAAAATATATATATAAAACTGTGGAAACAGCTGTCTATCAAATAATAGGTGAATTTATACTAAAAACTGCTTGTGTATAAAATAGTTAAATCTACATATTTACCTTTTTAGTAGAGAAATTTAATCCTGATAGTCAATTCTATTACTGATATGTGTGGGCTTCCTTTTGTCTAGTTGTTTTGTGTTCTCTTACTTCTAATTATTTCCCTTTAATTTTCCTGTTATAGTATTTATTCCTTTAAGTATTTCCTAAAGAGGCTATTTAGTTTTAGGAAATTCTTTCATTGTTTGTTTATTTGGGAATGATTTTATTTCTCCTTCCCATTTGAAAGATAATCTTGCTGGGTATACTGCTCCTGGCAGAAATTCTTTCTCTTTCAGTGTTTTAAATATATATTCCCATTCCTTCCTTGCCTGCATTGTTTCAGTTGAGAGGGCCGATGCTAGTCTAATGGGGTAACCTTTGTAAATAACGTGGTGTTTCTCTCTTGCCATGTTTAGAGTATTGCCTTTGATTTTTACCAATTTGGCTATGGTATGCCTTGGACAGGA